GGATAAAAGTGCAACAGTGTGCAAGCATTGTGCAACACATTTTGTTTATGCTAACAGCAACATGACTAACATGTCATGCTAACCCCGAAATCCCTCCACTCCGTCAACAACCCCCGCGCCAGACCGCCTGCACAAAGCAAAGCATACAGCCTCCACTGTGGCTCCCGACCGCTCCGCTCTGAGTTCCTTGGAGATCGTAGAGGGCATGCGCGAAATGATTATATTCAAAGCAGCAAAACATGCAGAAATTATCCAGGGTTTCCGCGGATCATTAAAAATAATTAAAATCCATTAATTTTTTGGGGGATTTTTTCATTAATTTCATTAATTTTTATGGGATCAACATATACCGAACAGAACCGTGGATTTTGTGTACCGTTCCACCCCTAAGATATATATATACTAGTTTATCCTTCTTAGATATTGGTCTCATTTATGAGCATTAAATTTGGAATCGGAGCGATCAGAGAAAATTTTACCAGTCAAATGCAGCACAAAAAAAAGAACAGATGCTGCAAAAGGTGTTCATCTCTTACTCTTTGCACCAGGGATTTTTTTGCTTTGTTTTACTTTTCCTACCTCCATGTTTTTGAACCTCAGCGTTCTTTAACCGGTAGAACACCTTAGCTGCTCATTTTACCAAACAGTTTGTAAAATTTGCACAGCAATCTTAGTAGATCATCAGCAACAAGCCCACAAATTGCACATATTAAAATACATTTGCATTAAACATTTTAGCACCTCATATTCTTGATCCTTGAGGATAAAAACTTAATTTTACTTTTGTATTTAATTAAACTGTAGATCCTGCATCTTTTTCATTTTACTTGAGTTATAATGTAATACTTTTGACATCTGTGTCTAATCTAATAGTGTGCTGTGTAAAAATATGAACAGGAGAATGCATCTGTGTTGATTCATTTCGAAGCAGAACCACCTACACCCATAAATAAGACCCTTCAGCCTCTGAGAACAGCTTTCCACTGAAAAATGCTTTTGTTTTACTGCTCAAACCCTCCATCACATATAGTCCAAACACTTGATGTGGAACAGAAAAAACAGCTGAGAAATGTACTGCCATCTTCACACAGTTTGTCTCCAGGGCTCGTGTTTACGGGTCGTTTCTTCCTTTCTTTCTGTTTTTCTCCCACTTATCTTTATTTTTCCTCACAGACCTACTTGTGTTTAATAAAGTGACGATGACGACATGATCAAGAATGTATGCATCAAACATCTACGTACTGGTAGGCTTGGGAAACTGGCTGAAGCGGTGTCAGTGGAAACTGCTGGGACAGATTCCCACATTCAGACAATGTTGGAGCTATTTACTCTGAGACCTTCTGCCAGTTGGAACCTGTTGTCCAGGAGGCTCCAGCTGCACGGTGTGACTGGTGCGACACCGATCATCGTCTGCTAGGATACTGGCCAAAATGACTTCCATATTTCCCTCCCCCTTGTGTTGATTTGACATATTTTGTGGCTGAGGTGAAGACGGTGCAGACTGTTCTGGTAGGGCTCAGGAAGATAAACGGTTTAATAAAAATCTAATTGATTTGTTTCTGCTTTTTCATTGGAGGTAATGTGGACAAACAGACATATTTAAAAGTTGAAATGCCATTTATATAAGAGTCTAAAAAGTGCATCAAGTGTTTATGGTCTAAGAGGATGTGAGGCATGAATTCAGGATACAAATTAAACCATGTGCTGCTGTTTGGCTCTGTGCTGCAGGTCGTGTTGGAAGACTATCTGCAGAGAATCAGGAAGGCGGATTTCGATGTTTTCCACAAGAGCCTGCTGAACAGGAACCCACTGCTCCCCTTCCAGCTCTACCTCCGCTCCTGGAAGAAGACCTACTGATTCCAGCCTCCCTCTCGCAGTTCACCCTAAGAAACCTGCAGATCTGGCAGACAGAGACTTCAGTTATTGAGCTGCTGCTATCAGAATGCTAATAAAGACCCACAGAATTGGACAAACATCAGCTCTGGCACTAAAATCACCATCAATGGAACTGAGAATCACAGCAGACTTTTGTTTATTTTCCAATTCAGGAAACATAGAGTTCTCTATATACAGACAGAAAGTTTTAGAACGCGTGAAATTAGACTTTAACTGTATGACTGTATGTATTGAAGCTGATTTTCGAGTTTAAGATTTCATTAGATTTTTCTTTCTCCTGATGATGTATTTCTATCTGCAGCTTATCTCTGCCTCTCCAACTGTCCATCAGAAGAAGCCCAGCAGTTTGACACATCGATGCATCTGTTATTTTTTAAAGGAATCTGTGTTGGAATCTGTGAAAAACCAGCAAAGCCTTTGGTTCAACAGCTGCTAGCTGGCTTTGGGGAATAAATTTAAAATAGGGTTTAGACAATTGATTGGATTAATCATGAGAAAATGATTATTGGCCTAAATGTTAACTGATTTAGTAATTGGTTAAATATTAACTGCACTATAGACACTAAAACATCCCATTAGATAAAAGGACAACCAGCTCAGCAGTTATACCAAAATTTTGAAAAATATATAAAAAATTTTTTCCATCAGTATGCTCTATCTAGAACTCCTTAAATTGCTTAGTTTTAGCTTAAATTCTGTAAAAAAAAAAATCTTCCTTAAGTGACCTTTTCTAATATGAATATAAATCTATTAAACTTGTGTGTGCAGGTGGGGCAGCGTTTAGTGCGCCCGACCCATTTAGAGAGGCCTTAGTCCTCAACACGGCCGACCCGGGATCAAATTCCACCTGTGGTCCTTTCCCGCATGTCTCTCCCTCTGATATCCGCTTATACCTGCTTTCCTTTTAGCCTACTGTTGAAAAAAATGAGCCACTAGTGCTGTAAAAACTCAAAAAACAAACAAATCTATTAAACCAAAAAATAATCAACAGATTAATCTATTAGCAAAATATCTAATATTGCTACAGCCCTAATTTGAAGATGTTTTTCTAGCTGTCCTTCATTTCATGTCTGTTTTAAACACAGCTTTATTTCTTCAGCCATGAAGGGACACTAATCCCTGAAAATCCTTTATTTATTTTTTTTTTTTGGTCTTTTTTTTTTTT